GGGCTGCTGCCATCGGCGAGAGCGGTGCTTTCGCGGCTCGCCGCCGGGGTGCGACGGGCCTCCCCCGCGCGCGGGCCGCGGTCGGAGCCCCTGGCGGGCACGGCCGCGGCGCGCATATCGCGCCCTGGCCCGCGGCCCAGGCGCGCGGGCCGCGGAGCGCGCGCGGGCCAACTCGCGAGGCACGGCCGCTGCTCCACGCTCGTGGCTCGGCCCCTTGCCGGCGGCCCGTGGGTCGCGCGCGCGTCGCCAGCAGTGGCAGCCGCTGCTTCGGCGGCGGGGGGGCTCGCCATCCTCGATGGGTCTGTCTGGCCCGACCTTCACCTGTTCAATGCTCCGTCAGCCACTCGCTGGGGGTTGCCTGGGCCCTTCCGCGCCGCCGGCAGCCTCGGCCTGGCGGCGGAGGCGGAAGGCTTCTCGGGGCTGGTTGGCCCCTTCCAGGTGGTCAGCTTGCCTCTGCTCGGCGCGGCTTCGCGCCCGCTGAGCACGACTGCTCCTGTTTTGGTGGTCGATTGGGAGATATCCGAGAGGATCCGGAGGCTATCTCACCCTTCTGGATGAGGGAGGCTCCGACGGGCTGGTCTCGTTAGGGTCGGCTCGCGGCCGCGTGTACAGGCCGCGCCCTGCGGGGTCTTCGCCCTTCGCGATGGCTACGTGGCCATCCACGGTGCGGCGCCCGTCGAGGGGGACGAGGCTGCCCCGTGCGCGGAGAGGGCCACCCCGTACCAGTCCGCGGACGAAGCCGAGGGGGGTGGCCCAGAGGGCGACGCCGCAGCCGAGGACCTCCCTCCTCTTCCGGTGCGGGCCCCGCGGATTCCAGAGGTGCCCCCATGCCGGCGCGGAGCCGCCTGGGCGCGCGGCCGAAGCCTTGGGCGGGCGTGGCCCGCCCTCGGGCGGGAAGGGCCATCGCCGCGGCTCTGGACGAAGGGGCGCCGACGAGCCGCGCGGAGGTCCAGCTGCAGGCCCGACGGCCGAGGGCTGCGAGTGCGGCCCTCGGCCGTGGCGCCTCCCCCGGGGGCTCGCGCCGACCCGCAGGGGGCCCCGCCTCGAGGCACGTGCAGTGGTCGCCGACGAGGCGGCGCGCATGGGCGTCCCTCGGGGGGATCTCCGGGCGATGCTGGCTCCGTTGCTTCCTCCCCCCCCAGCGGGTCCAGAGCCGCGTCGCCGCACCAGCTTCGGCGCTGGCGGCGGCTTGGGGGAAGCACGGGCCCGGGAGCGTGCGCCCGCCGCTCCTGCCGCCCTCGGCCCCGCCGCCGTTCCCCGCTCCCCGGCTGCAGCTCCCGGCGTGCGGTCCTTCCCCGAGAGCGCAGCAAGCATCTCAGAAGGCCGGAGCGCTCCTGAGAAGCCCCGCCGCCTTCTGAGAAGGGGTCGTCTCCTTCTCACTTCCCCCCTCGCGTGCGCCGCCGGCGGCGAGGGGGTGGTCATGACGACGGTAGCTCCGCGTCGTGTCGAGGGGCGGCGAGCGCGCCGCTGGCGTTCAACGTGGAGAGCCGCCAGCGACACAGACTCGGTCGGTGTGGAACGATCGCGGCCGATCGTTCAAGGTTGAGCGATCCCCGCGATGTCAGAAGCCAACGCCGATGTCGGCACGACACGAAGCTGACGTGCGGCGGGGGTGCATGTCATGGCGGGGGCCATGATTCAGGAGGGGGAAAACACACAATGAATCGTCGATTTCTGGTAAAATCTGGGAAATTATGGGAAATGGGGGGGAATACGAAAACCCAGAAAATATAGGGAAATATGGGAATCCTGGAATTTGTGTCTACTTATTGTCCCTGGGCTCCTTGTAGTGATACCGCCTGGATCTCCTGGCCCCCTCGTCTTCTTTCACTGCGTCGCCTGGTCGCCCCCCCCCCCCCCTGGGCCGCAACGCGAGTGCCTCGGGCCATAATGTGCGAGCACTCCCCCCTCTTGGACGCCCCCCTCTGGGACTGCCCCCCTCCTACGCATACTCCTGAAGACGAGGGCAGAAGACGAGAGAGGGGGAAGAAAGGAAGGCCGCCGTACTCATACACATCTGCGCTCGCCGCCTCTCCTCCTCCTCCTCCTCCTCCTCCTCCTCCTCTTTCCTCTCGCTTACTCCTCCTCCTCCTCCTCCTCCTCCCTCCTCCTCCTCCTCCTCCTCCTCCTCCTCCTCCCCCCTCCTTGTCCTCCTTTCCTCCTGCTTCTCCTCCTCCTCCTCGTCCTCGTCCCCCTCTCCTCCTCCTCCTCCTCCTCCTCCTCCTCCTCCTCCTTCCTCCTACTCCTCCTCTCCTCCTCCTCCTCCTCCTACTCCTTCTCCTCATCCTCCTCCTCCTCCTCCTCCTCTCCTCCTGCCTCCTACCTCCTCCCCCCCCCTTTAATTTTTCATTCTTTCTCTTTTTTTAGTCTTTTTTTTTTTTTTTTTTTTTTTTTTTTTTTCCCCCCCTCTTCTTTCTTCATTTTTTTTTTCCTTTTTATTTTTATTTTATTTTATTCTTTCGCATCTCCTCCCCCCCTCTTGGACGCCCCCCTCTGGGACCGCTCTCCTCTTTGGACGCCCCCGAGCAGCTCGCCTTGAGGGGCCAAGTCTTGCCCAGAGCTCGGGCCACCATCAGCCGTCCCGCCCGCCCCCACGGGGGGGCGGAGGCCGCGCTCGGGCGGCGCATCGGCCGCAGGCGTGCACGGCCCACTCGCCGAGCGCGTTCCACTGTATGCCAAGTGACTGTTTGCAAACGCATGAAAAAAAACATAGGTTTGTCTCGAGGCAATATTTCGTACATCCCCTGCGACGGATCCAGTCGGAGGCGGGAATGTATACATGACCACCGCCTGGAGGATCAGTTTCGGGGGCATCGGCAGGCGGTGGGTATGGCCATATTCGGCCCCTGGGGGCCAACACTTGTCTATATCCACCGCCCGCTGGGGCACCCGGTCGCTGGCTCCCAGGCGGTGGATGTGGATAACTCCCCGCCTTGCATCCGGGCCATCTGCGAGCAGCTATACTCTGAGAGTGGGCAGGTACTCCGAGAGAGCAGTGGAGCGCGCTTGGCTATCGGCAGGGGCGCCATGCACAGCCCCCGGGCCGCAAGACCACGGGCTCGGCCGAGCAAGCCGTCGCCAACCCGACGGCCGGCAGGCTCGCGACGTGCCGACGCGACGGCGACCCCGCCGCTGGGGTCAAAAGGCTGAGCTCCGCCGGCGGTCCAGAGTCGGCCAAGATGGATCGATCCGGCGATCGGAGGGCCGCCGATGGTTCAATCAGGAGGGGAGAAAGCAAACAGACACAATGAATCGTCGACTCCCCAGAAAATATGGGAAAATGTGGGGAGTGGTGGGGAAGCCAAAAGACCGGGAAATGTAGGAAAATAGGGGGAATCTTCTTGTTTGTGTGTACTGATTTGTGTGTCCCAGGGCCCCTTCATTCAAGGCTGAGCCATCCACGTGATGTCAGAAACCAGCGCCGGGGTTGTCACAGAGCGGATCTGCCGCAGACAGTCCAGGACGATGAGGCGGAGGAAGTCGAGGGCGCTCACTCCCAGCGCCCTCCCGACACATCAACGGGTCCCGAGGTTCGGCGAAGCGGCAAAAACGCGCAGGGTGCGCCGTTTGCGCCAGGACTCTCGTTGCGCCATGATGCGCTCACAGTGCTCCGCAATTTTTACCGGTGCTCGCCAGCTGTGGCAGTTACGCTTGCGAGCGCACACGTCGGATAGTGTGAGAATCCCTTCCCCCGCCGTCCCTTGCAGGAGCCAGCGCGGAGATTGGTATCGTTTGCGTGTCTGCGTGTGTGCTGGGGAAGCTTTCCCCTCGCTCTGTCGCTGGCCCGCGTGCCCTGCACCGACTCTGGCGGCCGCCGGCCTCCCTGCGCCGCTGCTTCGGCTCCGCCGCCCAGCCGCCGTGCTTCTGCGGCGCGACGCCGCGCAAGCGCGCCTGCCGAGCAGACACAGAGCAGCGGTGTAGTGCTGGCACAGCGCCCGCCGCGCCAGGGTGGCATCTGTGTGTTCAGGGACGGCATGGGGGAACGTCCCGTCCCTGGTCTGCGGCCGCCCGAGTACAGGGCGGGCGCTCCGCAGCACGAACCGACGGCCCCACCGAAGCGAAAAAGGGGGTTGTGTTGGAAGAGCCGACTGCGGCCAGTCAGGGTTGGTCGGATTTCGATCCGGACCTGGTCCGCGCCGGTGCGAAGGGGGTCCCAGCCCCAGCGTGCAGGGGCCGAGCCCGAGCAGTGCTTCCAGACGGTCCGATTCCGACCCGAGTTCGCGACGAATTAGGTGCGACCCGATCCGTTGCTGGCTCGATTGGATTTAGCGATTCGATCCAGCTCGGCCCTGCCGTAGCGGTGGTGGCATTCGTCCTCCTGCCACTCGTGCAAGTCCAGGCGGAGGGAGGGGCGCGGATAGGGAGTAAGGGAGGGTGTGTGTGGTGTAAAAGGATGTACAGGGATGCTCCGCCTCTCCGTTCCGCTGGGGATACAGGATATGGCTGCATCCAGGGACAATTGTGACAACGACGAAACCTTGGTGAGTAACATAACCATGACGAGTACAATGCTGATGACGACGATGAGATGGACGACGACTATAATGAACATGCTGATTAGGCAGACGTGGGGGACGAGGGGGATGATGATCTGTTCGAGCCCACTGCGCTCTTCACTGCTCTTCTCATTAGTCGCTGCACTGGGTGAATGCCTCTTATCCGCCCCGAATGCGCTTCTCCCTTGCTTGTGTATTCGTTCAGGTCTTCAGGACAGGACTGTCATCCAGGCAGTTCAAAGCTTCGACCAGGGTATTCACCACGGTGCAGCTTCACGGGGTACCGTTCAGAGTGCCAGCAGCCCACAAGTGCATATTGAGGGACACGCAGCCGTGCAGATCCTCCTCCTCCTCCTCAGTCCTCCTCCTCCTCCTCCTCCTCATCAGTCCTCCACCTCGTTTCCCATCGACCTTTCCTTGCGCTGGCGTCGCTGGGCGTGGGAGCGCAGGCGTCCCAACGACGCCGTCAACCCGACGGGCATGATCGGCGGAGTGCCCGTGGGCATGGCGGTGCGCGCCCGCCGAGCGCCCGCCGCCGTCGAGATGCCTGCCGTCGGAGTGTGGGAGGACGGGCAGAGGCGGAGAGGGAGAGGGATGAGGAGAAGGCGCAGGATGATGGTTGATTTCACATTGTGCTTGTCCGACTGGGTCTGGCCAGGGATGAAGTGCACACGAAGAGGAGGGAGAGGATGCGGAAACAAGGTGCTGGTGGTTGTGGAGGCAGGTGTCGTGTCTCTCCTCTCCTCCTCCCAACCCTATGTGACAGAAAGGGCCCGATTGCCATTTTGGCTTTAGGACACGTTGCGTGCCATGTGATTGTTTAAGACGCCTGATCTCAGCTGGCCAGGGACAATTGTTTCTTTATTTGTCTCTACGCTGACGCGTTGCCGCCATGCCTGCCGACGATGGTCGCCAGAGCGTGGACGCAGTTGATGGCGGCGAAGGAGCCCAACTCTCAGGCGCTGCAGGGACCGGAGACCGAGCACGTGCAGAGAGACAACCAGCAGCAGGAGCATCCACACTCAGCCGTGGCCTCAGCAGCGCCACAGTGCTGGGAGTGGGACTCGTGGGATGCTGACTGGTCTTGGGGCTTGACTTGGGATTCGGACTGGTGGGGTGGCACTGGAAAGGACTGGTCAGCATGGGCGGACAGTTACTCCTACGAGCACCTTCGACGTGGCATGGCCTCGAGCACCTTGAGCTCTACACGGCCAGTATCAACTCCTGGGCGGTTCGCACGGCATACAAGCCCGCAACGCGGGCCGGAAGGGCATCAGAGACGTTTCCCATTGATCTCCAGACGAATTTCAGGTCGATGAGGCACACCTTCGACGTGTAGAACGGTCTGGAGCTGGTTCTGAGGCACCTTCGACTCCTGGCAGGAGAGCGCCCAGGCGATCAAGACCGACGTGCTCACAACGAAACTCTCTTCGACTATGCTACGAGGCGAGGAGAATCGCTGACCGACTATGTGATCAGGTGCGACAGCCAGAGACATACATAATCAGCGGTGAGGTTCGGCTTAACGCTTGCAGACATTGTCAAGGCCAGGTAGAGGCAGGAGCTGGACTGTCGTTTCAGGCGCGTCTGAATCTTCGCACTCTCTTGGGAGGCCGAACGGATCTTGCGTCGGTTCGGGGTGCTCTTCTCGAAAGGGACAGTACCGAGAAGGAGACTCTACCATCAGCTATCTCCAGGAATCACCACTCCAACACGTATGCCGCAGTATCTCAGCATGATCAGGATCAGGACGAGAGTCACGTTTGTGCCAGGTCAGAGTGCTTCGGTCTCTTCGAGATGATTTCGAATGAAGAGGAAGTGACCACGCTTCTCAATGCACTGGATAAGCAGGATTTGGGTGAGGATAACATGGTCGATATCTATATATGCTAAGATGACCCTTCCACAGCACAAGAGAACGTGGACATAGTCGCGCCAGCTCAAGACAGCTCGGACGGTTGACCGAGATTGCTTGGACAGGAAGAAGGCTGCTACTTCCTAGGTCACCAGACTGGACCTCAGAAAGCGAACACGCTGTTCAAACTGTGTGGAAAATGGCCATTGGCGCGAGGACTGCAGGTGACCCTTCAGGAGCAAGGCAGACCGTATCAAGGCCGAATCAGCTGCGACAGGAGACCAGACTCCTCGCGGACCTCCCCGACCTGCTGGTGCCGGCAAGCCCTCCTTCTACTTCGACCTTTCGGGTGGGCTGCACGCGCAGTCCAGAGCTCCTGGGTGGTTGCTATCGGCGGCGAGGGCGGCCGGGTGGATCTCACGATCGGCAAGTTCGGCGGCGACGGCCAGGCGGGCAGCTTGACGAATTCCTGTGGCGGCGTTCTCGACGTCCGCGACAGGGGCGGGACAGGGGCGGGAGGAGGAGGAGGAGGAGGAGGAGGAGGAGGAGGATGGGGAGGAGGGGGGGGAGGAGGAGGAGAGGGAGGAGGAGGAGGAGGAGGAGGAGGAGGGGACGAGGAGGAGGAGGTGGAGGAGGAGGAGGAGGAGGAGGAGGAGGAGGAGGAGGAGGAGGAGGAGGAGGAGGGGGTGAGCTCCTGCGACCGCGCGTCGTTCGCGGCCGCTGCCCTTCAGCGCGTGGAGGACTCCGCTCTCGTGGGCGCGGCCGCGGGCCAGGCCCTCGTGGGCGCTCCTGACATGGGACGCATGATCGCGGCGTTCCAGAGTCAGGAGGGGAAAAAACGTACAGACACAAGTAATCGTCGATTCCCCAGAAAATATGGGAAACTATGGGAAGGGGGGGGAAGACAAAAACCCAGAAAATATGGGAAACTATGGGGAATAGTTTTATTATTAGTGTGTATTTATTTGTGTGTCCTGGGGCCCCTTCAAAGAGCAAGGGCTTCATGGCCCACGTGGTCCAGGATGACGACGAGATTCCGTCGGCAGAGGGCGTGGGGGGAAAAGTTCAGCCAGTTGTACGTGCAGTGGTGCCAGTATCTCCTCATGGCTTTGGAGTTGTGGAATTCCATATTGCACCGCGTCCTGGGCTTCCCTGGCTTCTGGCGAAGTTTCTAGCCCTCGTAGGGGCGGTTGTGGATCCGCGCAATGATGACTTGATCGTCGGGGAAGGCTCGTATAGGAAGGCCATGCCACTTACCGGAGTCCTCTCGGGACGTCGCGCACTAAGTTTGATTGGGTGCGGGCCCGGGGAGTTCAAAGTTCACGTTGCCTCCGTGCATCGACGCTTCAGTTATTTGGACCTCCACGATTGGACAGAGCGAGCGCGTTGACGCGTGGCAAGTCACGGACTGGAGCCTTCGCAGAGTTCAGTTTCAGCTCAAAACTTCACTTTTTGACCTTCGCGACTCTGAGGATCAGCCGATTCCGATCGACAATTTGGGCGACATAACGCCACCTGCTTGCGTCCCAAGACCAGGCGGATAACCCGCGTGCAATCGAAGTCGACGGGGTGTTCCCGCCAGCCTCCACGAGGTCACCTTCGAGGGCATGCGTCGGACAGGACTCTACGGGTAGCGTCATGACGTCCTGATCCTTCTCTCTCTTTCTCTCTCTCTCTCTCCCTCTTTGTCTCCTTCTCTCTCTGTCTCCCTGTCTCTCTCTGTCTCTGTGTCTGTGTCTCTGTCTCTGTCTCCTGTCTCTGTCTCCAGTCTCTGTCTTTGTTTCTGTCTCTGTCTGTGTCTCTGTCTGTCTGTCTCTGTCTGTTTGTCTCTGTCTGTCTGTCTCTGTCTGTCTGTCTGTCTGTCTGTCGTTCAGTCAGTCAGTCAGTCAGTCAGTCAGTCTGTCTGTCTGTGTGTCTGTCTGTCTGTCTGTCTGTCTGTCTGTCTGTCTGTCTGTCTGTCTGTCTGTCTGTCTGTCTGTCTGTCTCTCTCTCTCTCTCTTGTTCCTCTCTCTCTTTCTCCCCCCTCTCTCTCTGTCTTTCTTTCTTTCTTTCTCTCTCTCTCTCTCTCTCTCTCTTTCTTTCTCTCTCTCTCTCTATCTCCCCTCCCTCTCCCTCTCTCTCTCTCTTTCCATCTCTCTCTCTCTCTCTTTTTTTTATCTCTCTCTTTGTTTCTCTCTCTTTCTCTCTTTTTTCCCCCCCTCTCTCTCTTTTCTCTCTTCTCTCTCCTGTCTCTCTCTCTCTCGCTCTCTCTCTCTCTCTTTCCCCCCTCCCTTTTTTCTTCTCCCCTCTCTCTCCCTTCTCTCTCCCTTCTCTCTCTCTCTCTCTTTTTTTTTTTTTTCTCTCTCTCTCTCTCTCTGTTCTCTCTCTCCCGCTCGCGCTGGGGGCTCTCCGACAGAAGGCGGCCGGGTTCGCGGCGGCCAGCTCGGACGCGCGCGAGCGCGAGGCCACTCCGGAGGATGCCGAGGCCGACTTCGAGGAGATCGAGATCGACCCGGACTTGGCGGCGAATTGGGGCACGCCGTCGGATGGATCGGGGTGGGCGGCTTTCTCGAGGAGGTCAACCGCGGCGAGGGCGGATGGCGGAAGTGGATCAGGACTTCTTCCTCTAAGGGGACTTCGGTGTGAGTCCGGGAGGTCGGGCGTGGCCCGCGCGTGCCCGACGACCAGGTTCCCGGTGCTGATCGCCCTGCAGCCCAGCGGGCTCATCATTCGCGAGAGCACGAAGGATGAGATCACCGGGTGCAGCCGCCCTTCTATCGCTCGCCGATGCGGAGCGTGCCAGTTCGGGTGGCGCGCCAAGTGCAGGGCGCGCAACGCCCGGCCTTGCTTCTACTTCAAGACCCCGCAGGAGATCGAGATGGCCCGCCGGGCGGCGGTGGCGAGGAAGGAGGGTGAGAGCGCTCGGGAGAAGTGGTTCGAGGCTCAGTGCCGCTCTCGCGCGCCAGAGGCTGTGCCGGGGGATCTGGTGATGAAGCGCTTCGCGTGTCCAGTTTCGGTGATCAGCGATGTGTAGTGGTGTGGCGCCCGAGACGTGGCAGCGGCTGGACATGCCGAGGGCTCCGTCGATCGTGGCATGGCGCTTTCGAGCCATGGATGGGTGCCAGAGCTACGCGCGCGAGGTTAAGTCATGTGCACCATGTCATGGTCATGCTCCTACTGCCAATGCGCGGGGCCGCTGCTGTCCAGATGCCGTGTTGGACCCTTGTGTTCTGAGGGGCTGCTCAGCCGTGGCCGCCAGTTGGATGAGAGGGGGGGCCCCTGTTTGGCCCCGCTCAGAGTTGTCGTGGAACCGCGACGGCCTAGAGTGAGCGCGTGCCCGCGCTCCTCTGACCTGTCTTTTGTCGTGGAATCGCGACTGCCTGGAAGCGAGCGCGTGAGTGAGCGCGCTCCTTTGGCCTGCCTTCTGTTGATGATTCAATCCTTGCTTGGCTTCAGTTTAGCGGGCGCGCGAGGCAAGCGATCCGTCTGCCCGATGCGGGATCAGCTCCATCGGCATCTTTCAGAGCTTTCTGGGCTGCCTGCTGGCTGGCCCAGCGCAGGCTGTATTTGCCCGGCTTACTGTCGCCCTGGTGCATTTAGGTGCTAAGCTGGTTGTTCTATGAAAACATGACCCAGTGCTTCGCACCCTCGTTTTTTGGCAATCGCCTTACTGGAATTGGGGTGGCCGCGTTAGCCGGCCACCTGGTGCTTTGCGGCCGCCTCGAGCCAACGCAGGGACGGCGGCGATCAGGCTTCGTTCCCCCCCATCGATTTAGAGGGTCTGTCCCGCGGGGGGGACATAAGTTTGTCTGCTTCCGCTGCTGTTTCGGCTCGAAGCTGCGCCGCCCTGTCGGCTAGCGTCGGCGACGCAGACGTTTGCTCAATCTGCGGCTGTGGAGGAGAAGCGGGCCTTTATCGCCACCCCTCGCCATGCCGCAGTCTTTCGTTTCGTAACAGACATGGCATGGTATTCTTACACTCGACTGCCCTCGGGTGGCGTCTTGGAGGCTCCGAGGGCTGTCTTGAAACCATGTCTGGACGGCCGGGTGCTCTCGGGGATCGTCGGGGACCCCTTTGAGAGGCATGCCGAAGGCGTGCGGACCGTCCAGGGCCATCTCTCATGCGGCCGGGGCTGCCAGCGTATTCCCCCTCCATCCAAACAGGCCCGACAGGTCCCCCTAATCTGCAACGTATCTAAACATCTCTTACTACTAGGGGGTGGCGGAACGCACGGGGGACAGGCTTAGCGGATGACGGGAAACGTCTTCGAGGCACGAGAAGCGAGCTGGGCGTTGTGGTTGAGTCTGTAGAATGTGTAACACATCTAATGATTTGATAAAAAGGGTGGCGGGTTATATTTCGCCGAGGGTCAGCGGATTCCCCGGAGTGGCGGTTTCACTTGAGGCATCCTCGGTAAAATGAGATATCCGCGGCATCGCGTTTAAGAGAACCAAGCGTTTCGCTCGAGGCATTTTCGAAAAGGTGATCGTACATATGCATCTGCAAGAATTGGCGCTTCGCCTGGGACGTCCTCGAACAAATCATGTGTCGACGGAGGTGTTTTGCGGCCTCTTATGCTGAAAACTGCGTTTTCGCTGGGGACATCTTCAGAAAATGAGCGGCAACACGGCAGACCATAAACAATAACACGGCAGAACATTTGCATCTCGCTGGGGACATCCTCAACAAAATGAGATGTTCCCGACATCGTGTTGACATCGTTCTTGAAGTGCTGCAAGATGAAGAAATGAGAGCCCCAATAGGACCCAACGACGGCTCCAAGAGCGCCTTGATGACTGCCGAAAATGACGATGTCGCCAGGGACATCTTCAAACAATGAGAAAGTTCAACAATGTTTTGAAAACTGCTGTTCTAACATCGTCTTGGAATCGCTCCGGAAGAAACCTTCCAGGCGGCCCAAATCAGCCTTCTAACAATGACGTTTCCGCTCGTGACATCCTCAAGCCATATACGTGTGACGTCGCACTGGCATGATTTGTACGGCATCGAGACGGCTCCACGAGCCCCAAGCGAGACCCAATCTGACTCCAGGAGCGCCGTCGAGATTCTTCAAAATGCGCATTTCGCTTGAGACATTCTCAGAGCATGAAGTTCTTCGCAACGTCGCGTTCTACAAGCGTTTCGGTTGAGAGACCCACCAAAACACGAAAGGTGCGAACTTAACGCACCTATGGGCATTGGGCTATCACCTGGGACATCCTCGACACATCAGATACGGAAAATGTGAATTCAACACCACGCATGTTAAACATCAACTTTTTGCCTGAGACATCTTCAGAAAGCGGGCCGGATCACGACAGCCCAACATGCAGAAACACGGCAGAACACGCGACAGCACGGCAAAACACACAGGAGCACAGCAGAACACACAGGGGCACGGCCAAACCAAAAAAAAACGGGAGCAGCACAAAACACACAGGAAAACGGCAGAACACGCAGGAAAATAGCAGAACGCACAGGAGCACGAGGAGCACAACGGAGCCCACATAATACATAGGAGCGCGGCAGAACACGTAAGAACATGGCAAACACACGGAACACACAGGAGCACGGCGGATCACACAGGAACGGCAGAACACGCAGGAACTCGGCAGAACACACAGGAACGGGGCAGATTTCACAAAACACATGGGAGCACGGCAGAACAAGCAGGAACACGGCAGAACACACAGGAGCACGGCAGAACACACAGGAGCACGGCAGAACACATAGGAACACGGCAAAGCAGGACCATGGCAGAATACACAAGAGCATGGCGGAACACATACGAGCACGGCAGAACACGCAGGAGCACGGCAGAACACCCAGAACACCTATTCTCACAGCCGCACGCACAGGCATACGCACACAGGCACACGCACACACATGCACGCACACGCACACGCACACGCACACACAGATACACGCACACACGCACGCACACACAGGGAGGCAACATACGTTCACGCAGACCGCAGGAGCACGGCAGAGTAGCACGGCATAACACAGCAGTGCCGCAGACCACCACGCACGGACGCACATGCACATATTCCACACGCACGCGCGCATGCGCAAGCGCACGCACGCCACGACAGACTTGCGCAGCGCATACGAAGAATGTAGGATATTTCATCAGCCCAGGACACAAAATGACGCTTCCTGTTCTTGCCCGGTCAGGTTCCTCAAACTAGCGAGTTCGCCTGAGACATCCTCACACAACTGAGATCTTCGCGACATCGCGTTTAATGAAAACAAGCGTTTCGTTGGAGACATTTTCGAAACACTGATCGCCGCGAAATTCATCAACCTGTACAGATTTTCGTTTCGCCTGAGACATCCTAGCAAAAATGAGGTGTCGACGGAGGTGTATTACTACCTTTTATGTTGAAGACTACGTTTTCGCTAGGGGCGTCTTCAGAAAATGAGCGGCAGCACGGCGGACCAGAAACATGAGCACGGCAGAACATTTGCATTTCGCTGGGGACATCCTCAACAAAATGAGATGTCCTCAACATCGTCTTGATACCGTTCCTGCAGTGCTTCAAGATGAAGAAATGAGAGCCCAACATAACTTCAATCTGGCTCCAAGAATGCCCTGATGACGGCCAAAAATGGCAATTTCGCCAGGGACATCCTCAAACAATGAAACACCAGACGGCCCAATCCAGGCTTCCAAAAATGACGATTGTGCTAAGGGCATCCTTTAACCAAAAAGAGATGTGTGTGTGTGTGTGTGACAGCGCATTGGCATCGTTTTCGATGGCATCGAAACGGCCCCGAACGAGCCCCACTATGACCCTAGGGGCGCCCTCGATATTCCTCAAACTGCACATTTCGTTCGATACATCCTAGAAACAGGAGTTGTTCGTAACAAACGCATGGACATGGGGGTATCGCCTTAGACTTCCTCGAACACATGAGATGCTGAGTTAAGACCATGCATGTTAAAACTGAGCTTTTCGCCTGAGCATCTTCGGAAAACAGGCAGGATCATGGCAGCTCAACGCGCAGAAGCACGGCAGAACGCGTGAGAGCACGGCAAAACACAGGAGCACGGCAGAACACGCAGGAGCACGGCAGAACCCAAAGAACACACGGGAGCACGGCAGAGCAAACAGGAACACAGCAGAACACTCAGGAACACGGCAGAACACACAGGAGCATGAGGAGCACGGCAGAACACACAGAACACATAGGAGCACGGCAGACTACACAGGAGCATGATGAACACGTCAGAACACACGCGCGGCAGAACACCAAGGAGCACGGCAGTGCACATAGGAGCACGGCAGAACACACAGTTGCACGGCAGAACTGGCGGCAGAACACGCAGGGACACGGCAGAACACATCTGAGCACGGCGGAACACGCAGGATCACGAGGAACACGGCATAACACACAAAGTACATAGGAGCACGGCAGAACACAGGAGCATGGCAGAACACACAGGAGCGCGGCAGATCACAGATCACACAAAACACATGAGAGCACGGTAGAGTAAGCAGCAGCACGGCAGAACACAGAGGAGCACGGCAGAACACACAGGAGCATGGCAGAACACAAAGGAGCACGGCAGAGCAGGACCGTGGCAGAGTACACAGGAGCACGGCAGAAGACACAGGAGCACGGCAGAACATGTAGAAGCACAGCAGAACACACAGAACATGTATTCACACAGCCGCAACGACAGGCTTACGCACATAGGCTCACGCACACAGGCACACGCACACGCACACGCACACACAGACACATACACACACGCACACACACACACGCACACACAGAGAGGCAACACTATGTTCACGCAGACCACAGGAGCACGGCAGAGCAGCACGGCATAACACAGCAGGGCCGCAGACCACCACGCACGGACGCACCTGCACACTTTCCACGCACGCACGCGCACACGCAGACAAACGCACGCCACGACATACCTGCGCGGCAGACCAACACGAGAGCATACTTCACATACCCGGTGGACGAAGCGACGCTTCCGTTCTTGTCCGGTCACGTTGCGTTGGGGGTGATGATGATGTTGACTACGAATATGTTTTTGATTATATATATTTATAGATTGTGACTATGATGATGATTATGCTTAGGATTATGATTACGTTTGCGACTATGATTATGTCTATGACCGTGATGGTTTTTATGCTTCTGATTATGAGTAGAATGCTGCTCATGATTATGATTCTGATTGTGATTGTGATTATGATTATGAGTATGATCATGATTCTGATTTCGATTGTGAGCGTAATGGCCGATGCAAAGGACCAACCATGATGAGGGAAGGTCATGATAATAACTGAGGTGGGGGGCATGAGGGAGGCCGGAGGAGGGGAAACGGGAGGAGGGGAAACCGGAGGAGGAGGAGGAGGAAAAGGAGCAGGAACAGGAGGATGAGGAGGATGAGAAGGAATAACAGTACTACTAAGAAGACGAATGATAATACAAATCATAATAGCAATAACAAAATATGAAGCATACTAACAAGACGAATCATAGGACACATAGTAATATGAATAATATTCAGGGCAATATTGATATCATTTATTTCATAACAAGAATACGAATAAGGGTCATCATACAGCATACTGATAATACGAAGGCTAATGATACAACGCGGAAGAGGTATACGACTAACAATAGTCGTGCGATGAGTACTAGTAATGAACTAACAGATGAACAATATCAATATTCAAAATATGAAACAGAAGAAGACGACTACGACCAATACTACCAAATACTAATTGGAAGAGACATATTACGATTACAAGGAATATATTATTAGTGGAATCTATTCTCGTTAATACGAAGAATACGAAGAAGCATCATAACATCAATAGTAATAATACTAACAATAAGAACCATCTTTTCAATGATTATAAGAGTGATGCCAATACTGCCGATCATCATAAAAATATTCAGGATTCCCAGAATAGCAATACAACGAAAATATTGTTCAAAAGTAATCAGAATACCAGGGATACTACGACGAATAATAGTGTTAGTGCCAGTAAGCATAAACATATTCATAAGTATCGTAATGTTATTAGTATGCGTTCTAGTAATATTACCAATCGTATCGCGAAGAAGAAGACATGCCATACTAATAGTGATACACATAGTTTAGTAGTATTAGGAAAAAACATTAGGAACATATTTATAGTATTAGTACACATAGGAGTGTTATGAGTACTAATGAGAATAATAGTATTACTAGTACCAATAATATTACTGATATAACACTAATGCGATGAGTCATAAATATAAAAAGGCGAATAATACTCATGATTATCATAACAAGAGAAGTAGAGGAGGAGGAGGAGGAGGAGGAGGAGGAAGAGGAGGAAGAGGAGGAACAGGGTGGGCTGGAGGGCGCCCGCGCCGCCCAGGGACCCGGGCAGGCGGGCATGCTCGCTCTGCCCTCCGTCCAGGTGAACGCTACCAGCCCGATTATCAGGAACCGGCTCCCTCTTCCTCGATCGACGACGACGACGACCACGACGACCGCGACTATTCGACATGGAACGGGTCTTGTTTTTTTTGGCCGTGTTCGGGCCCCCGGAGGCATCCTTGGTCCCCTGCGCCTTCAGAAACCGCTTCAGGACGAGAATCTGGTCCCAGGGTCAAATTTCCAGGTCCACGCCCCGTTTTCGTCAGGACCCGCTTCCTTCCTGGCGAACGTCGGGGAAAGGAAGATGAAGTGGAGGAGGCGGAGGAGGAGGAGGATGAGGAGGAGGAGGAGAAGCAGGAGGAGCAGGAGGAGGAGGAGGAGGAGGAGGAGGAGCAGGAGGGAGGAGAAGGAGGAGAGGAGGAGGTGGAGGGAGGAGGAGGAGAGGAAGGGGAGGAGGGGAGGGGGAGGGGGGGGGAGAAGGAGGGGGAGGGTGAGGAGGAGAAGAAGGAGGAGGAGGAGGAGGAGGATGAGGCTCGGCCTGATTGATCGGGGAAGGCTGGCGCCTCCCCTCGTGGGTTGACAAACCTCCCTTGATGGAGGCGGCTGGGCTTTTCTTTCCCTCCTTTTTCGGAGGCCCTCAGTGGACCCTTCCTCCGCAGGCAGGTAAGAGGAGGAGTTGGAGTTGAAGGAGGAAGAAGAGGAGCAGGAAGATGAGGAGGAGGAGGAGGAGGAGCATGATGATGATGATGATGATGATGATGATGATGATGATGATGATGACGCTGATGATGATGCTGATGATGCTGATGATGACGATGATGATGATGATGATGGCTGATGATGGTGAGGATGATGATGATGATGATCATGATGATGATCATGTGATGATGATGATGCCGATGATGATGATGCTGATGATGATGCTGATGTTAATGATGATGATACTGATGATGATGCTGATGATGATGTTGATGCTGATGATGATGACGGTTCTGATGATGATGACTATGATGATGATGATGACGACGATGAGGATGATGATGATGATGATGCTGATGCTGATTATGATGAGAATGATGATGATGATGATGATGACGATGGTGCTGATGATGATGATGATGATGATGATGGTGATCATGATGATGATGATGATGATGATGATGATGATGATGATGATGATGATGTTGATCATGATGATGATGATGGTGGTGTTGTTGGTGGTGTTGATGATGATGATGATGATGATGATGATGATGATGATGATGATGATCATGATGATGATCATTTGATGATGATGATGATGATGATGATGATGATGATGATGATGATGATGATGATGGTGGTGATGATGATGATGATGATGATGATGATGATGATGATGATGATGATGATGATGATGATGATGATGATGATGATGATGATGATGATGATGATGATGATGATGATGATGATGATGATGATGATGATGCTGCTGTGATGATGATGATGATGATGATGATGATGATGATGATGATGATGATGATGATGATGATGATGCCGATGATGATGATGATGATGATGATGATGATGCTGATGATGATGATGATGATGATGATGATGATGATGATGATGATGATGATGATGATGATGATGATGATGATGATGATGAGATGATGATGATGATGATGATGATGATGATGATGTGATGATGATGATGATGATGCTGATGATGATGCTGATGATAATGATGATGATGATACTGATGATGATGCTGATGATGATTTATGCTGATGAGGAGGAGGGGGGGTGGAGGAGGGGAGGAGGAGGAGGAGGAGGAGAGGAGGAGGAGGAGGAGGT